TCTCAAGGAGAAGGTCTACAGGAAAATAAGGGTTTGGGTGGTTATTTGGTTGTTTTCGAACCTTTGAATGTTTCTCCTTAACTATGTTTCAATCACATAATCTGTTGAGGGTGGGGAGGGCTGATCCTATGTTAACTCTATTGATGGAGCATAATATTGTCCCCCATGCCAGGGTGTGAGATTGACTCAGGCAGTTGAGGACTTGGCATGACACTATCTGGCCAATACTGGATGAATCATGGGTGCTCATATGATTTAATTTGATCCAATAAAAATATGATATAGATATGAAACCAAGAAATACTACATTTTACCATTATGAGTGAAATTGAAAGGATTGAGGAAAAATTAAATATTGAATAAAATGTCCAACTACTGAGTAAATTCTTAAGCCAGCCCTACCTCTTGTCCTTCTAAGTATATAAGCCTATGTATCTCTACTATCGTCTAGCTTTAGTGGGTGTATTCTTGCCTGCCACATGAAGCATAGTAACTGATATGAGTTGAAGGGGTTAAATCACAATCACTACTTCGGGTAGTGAAGGTGCTATGAAAGTTCCAAGGAATAAGGTAGTAAAAGAAATAAAAATTTGAAAGTAGACAATTACCTTCCAATAATAGTGCCTCCCGACATCTCCTAGAGGTATCTACAGGATGAAAATTGAGTTTTAAATGCTCTTACAATGTATTGAAAAATAAGCCAATCTAAAAGTAATTTGATAATCTTTTTCTCCCTTAGCTACTGCTCATTTGATGTGACTGTCTCCAAGTGATGTTGGAAGACAAGAAGTTGCTATAGATCCGTTTGTACACATATTAAATAAAAACTCCTAAGGCTTCCCCTCTGACTTATACCCATACTCCTACCAGAAGCATCTCCAACTAGGCCTGTGCTTAGAATTTCAACTTCTTGGGGCTATGGATTTCTTCAGCAATACCAAGCCTGACACCCACAAAGCAGATTTCTGAAGAAGTTTCTGGCGGTGTGGTATAATAAAGAAGATGAAAGGACACAGGCATAAGATGATGGAACCAGGGTTTCTTAGATCTCACACTCAGCTGGATGAATCTGCAGATATGGCTGAACTGTCTGTTCTAAAAGAATATAGGAATGGAAATGCAAGAGACAATCACAAAAATAAATTGCATCTAGCTTACTTTCTTAATTAAAGTATAGGCTAAAGATTGGGAGGTTTTTCTAATACAAAAATAATCCCATCTCATGGAATCTCTGGATGATATAACACAAATGCAGGAAAAAAAAGGTTTAAAAAATCACCATGTTCTGTCACTTCTGGTTAATTTTTTGGGATTAAATTTGGGATAAGCTAAGTACCTTGTTTCAGATATTTAAATATCCTTCTCTACATTCCCATGGAACTTGCTTTCAGATCACTTACCATATTGCTTTGTCATTGCCAGTGAATACATCTGCTCTTCTTCTGAATTTGAAATTCATTGAAAGCAAAAACTGTATCTTCCTTTCTTTGATTCTTGGTTCTTAGCTGAGTCTGTCATATAGCAGGTGGTCAATAAATGTTTGTTGACAAGGCCAAAGTTTCAAAGTCAAGGGATGAAAAAATTATTTTCCCACTAGGCAAATGATATATCTTTGTTTCATTAGCTTTAAAAGGTAAAGAAGTTACCTTCCAATGAATCAGGATAATTTCTGTTGCTATTTTACTTATTTGTAAGATATCAAGCTGGCAAGTATGAGGTTCAATGTATGATGTAAACTTCACTCTAAACCTCCAAACTGCACTGACCAATATTTGTTTCTGCTTATCCAAATATACCTATCATAAGTCTGAAAGAAGCAAAAATGTTATGAAAAGAGGTATTATTTTCAAATTTTAATAAAACGTAGAAGCAATTTTTTTACTGCTTAAACTGTTTCATTTAAAAATATGAACCATAGATTATAAGACTTAAAAAGTAATCTGAATCCAGTTGAGATACCTCTTAACCACAGACGGAAAGCTAGATTTGGGGCTTTGATGGCAAATTCTTGTGGCTATGATGCTACTCACATATTCTCTAGCCTCTCATTGGAAAATCAGAGAGGAAGTTCAAAAAAATATCTCACTGCTCTCTTAGGTAAGAGATCTATTGCTAAAGAATTTGCATGTATTATACAGGCTTTTCAACCTGCAGCAATATGCTTAGTCTACCACTGTGCCCCTGCTGGCTCAGTTGAGACTAGTCCAACTCTGCCAACAGCTGCTACTGACAGCTAAAAGTTGAAAGAGTGGCAGCAGATGAAAGAAAAGGAAAAAGGTAGTGGGCAGGGGAGGATGAAATCAGAAGGGATGGGTGGCATTTACATTGATGACTTCAATGGAGGAATTTTCAAGTGCTGAGGTACTGAAATGTTCTTCTTCCTCACATCTTTTGTTAATGGAAGAAGTAGTTTTCTTCAAGCCAAATGACTGAAGATCTGTCACATATCTCTTCTTCCACCTCTTTTCATGGCTGGCATAAGTAGGGACCTGGCTGACTTCAAGAGTCAAAGGAGGTGTGCTGAAAACCACCTCCCACCTGTACAAACTGTATCATTCACCCACCTGAAATCAAAAGTGAAACCTCCTCAGTACAGTCACTGCTTTGGGTCAATGCATTAAAAGCACCTTTTAAAATGCATCTACATTATCTAAAAGGAGGAACATATAGTACCTGGGACAGAAGACGGATTCTCAAAATGTGGCATATTTAATATGAAATTGTCACTGTCTGCTATCAGAACTTTAGGAAGGATCCATCAATCAGGTTCTCTCTTGTCCCCTGGGCCCTTGAGGAGTTACAATGGGAAGATCTCCAAGTAGAACACTGGCAGAAACTTGGTGGCAGAACCTGAGGACAATGGGGAGAAAGAGAGATGACAGCACAAGGAGCTTTTGGGACAAAGAGGAGAGGGCTTATGAAAGGTGAGACAAAGGGGAAGAAGTTGGGATGAGTTGATTCTTCTGGAGCCAGTCCCTAAATTAGATACCTTTGCAGCCATGATTTTATTTACTCCTCACAATCATGTTATAAACAAAGAATTATTAATATTCCCACTTTGAAGATGAGAAAATTGAGGAGTAGATTTAAAAAATTGTTTAACACACACTGCCTAAATTTGATGAGCTTTAAACCTGAATGCTGACCCATCTCCTAAGCCGGCTCTCCTGCATGATACTATCACTCTCTTCATTGTCAAGGGGTAATCAGCCTTGTCTTTGCCACCCTTTTGCCCCTGTTCCTTCTACAGCAAGAATGATTCTCCTCTGGCTCCTAGGTTTCTCCCTTACTCTTGGCCATGGACTATCAAAATGGAAACAAAAGATTTCTGTAGGTGACAGTGCAGAAAGAAATCATGCACTATCAGAATGGGCAGATAGTTAGAAAAGCCTAGAACCATTTTTCTGATTGCCAAAGGGTTTTGAACCCTTTAGTTTCAGGCTCCACCCTATGGTTTGTCAATCTGAAGGTTCTAGAGTAATCAAGATATTAGCTGGGTCCCTCAACTCTTGTTGCCTATTTCCTATGCCATGTATACCAATCTGCATGAAAGTTCACTAATCACTTAGACCAGGAGGAGCGGGTAGGAAAAGAATATCAGGTGTTGGGAGGATAAAATCTATGCTTTCAGAGTAGCTGTGGGGTAGGAGTTAAAGATTTGCTAGATAAAGAGCATTCTTCTTTTCTCACCACTAGAGAATTGAGCTAGAGAGAGGAATATAGCCCAGGAGGCTTATACACAAGGCAGTGTCTTGGAGAGATCATCATCCATCACTGAGATCCAGGCTGGACTCCATGACTTCATAGGTTCTTCCCTCCCGTAGATAGGAGAGAGAAAGAAACATTGGGCAGGATGCATAACCTCTGGGACCATTACCTGGGGGCTTAAGCTGTTACACACAGATGCAACAAAAGAGAGCACAGCAGCTAAGAACAGTTTCTTCCAACCTTAACTTTGATCCCCACCCCCATTCCAGCACATTAGCACACTCCTTTCCCGGTCGGTGGAACTGAGCGTCCTTTTCATTAACCTTTTAGTTACCATCTCCACGCACACACTTTATTCCTATTCTCCAAAGCAGTTGGCCCCGCACTGCCCCTCTCCACCCTTGCGCCTATCAAATCTACCTAACCGCTGAGGTGAGGGAGAGAGACACACCTCGCAAAGCTGCGGGGATGGGGGTGGGGGTTATTCACTTGCCCTCGGATCTCTGCTGTAAAAATTGAGCGGCAGAGACTGGGCATGCGCAGCATCTTCGGGCGCATTGTGCTGGGAACTGCTTTTGGAGTCTACAAAGACTCCGGAGTAATCACTAAGGGCCCTCCCAAGACCCCCCTTCTTTAAAACAGTCACACAAATGCAGAGGCAATGCAGCCTTTATTTTTAAAGTGGGGAGGTTGCTGGTTGCAGCTTAAAAGCCTGGTCCACGTGAGGACTGGTGTATTGATCCCATCTCTCGTGTTGACAAACGCCAGCGCCTAGGCTTTGCAGTCCGGGGCTGCAGTTTGCAGCCGAGCTAAGCGGTGTGCGGCTTTGATTCCACGTCAGATCAACTTTGATCAATATCCCCCTACTGGTCCAATTGGGAGAGTCCAATTCACGGGCGCTGAGCCTTTTAGCTCTTTTCCTTCTTTTCCCCCTCTTTAGACCCACCATCTTGGGGGGGGGGGCAAATCTCGGGCTTTCTTAAATTAATTTTATTTCTTATTTCTTTATCTCCCTCATTTGCTTGTGTTTGTTCTCTCTCTCTCTCTCTCTCTCTCTCTCTCTCTCTCTCTCTCTCTCTCTCTCTCTCTTTTCTGAGAGAAATCGCTCTGAGACAACCCAGCTCACAGCCAATGAGCCCTCCTTCCAGATTGGTGTGAAGACAGGAGTGAGGTGGGGGGCGGGGAGGGGGTGTGAGAGATCCTGGGAGAGAGAGAGCGCTCAAGAAACGGAAACAGGAGAGAGAGAGAGAGAGAGAGAGAGAGAGAGAGAGGAGAAGAGGAGGAGGCGGCGGCGGGCGGAGGAGGACTAGTGCGGGGTGGAAAGGAAGAGTGAGCCAGAGAGCAAGTTGAGGGGAGGGGGTGTAAGAGCTGGTGAATTCTTTTTCTTTTTCTATTATTATTTTGACGACTCCCGAGTTGCGCCCATGCTCTTGTCAGCTTCGTTTTAGGCGTAACATGGCCAGGCAGAAGAAAATGGGGCAAAGCGTGCTCCGGGCGGTCTTCTTTTTAGTACTGGGGCTTTTGGGTCATTCTCACGGAGGATTCCCCAACACCATCAGCATAGGTAAGCGCCAGAGAGCCAGCCAGTGGAGCAGGCTCCTCTGCATCTGAGACCACTGCCCCAGCGGGGCTACTGCGGTCGCGGGTCCCTGTGCCGGCATGATCTGGGGACGGTGGCTGGGCATGGGGACTGGGCAGAGATCTCGGGGATCTGAGTCCCATGGAGCTGGCTAGACTGGGGAGCATCGGAGACGAGAGAGGAGTCTCTTGGGGCTGACGCGGATGGACTACCGAATTTTCCCCAGCTGAGGAACAGGGGAGATGAGCACAAGATCGGGCTGCTGCAAGGGGGCGAGAGTCGCGGCTTTTAGCTCGCTGCTCTGGACTTTGCCATGGCTTGTGTGCAGCCGCTGGAAGTTGTCCCAGGGTGATGCTGCCTGTCTAGCCGCGCCAGGGCATGTAATCCGGGTCCGGGGCGCCCTGTCCCGAGTCTCTGCTCCTGGAAGACAGGATAGTTTTAGAGGAACCCACTTTGGATCCCCCAGACCTTGGCCGTGGCCAGGGTCGGTGGCGGATGAGGTAGGAGGAGGGGGTGAAACCAGGCTCTAAGCCGGCGAGCGGCTGAAGTCACGCAGACCGCGAATTCATGAATTGCCGCTGTGTCTGTCTGGAGCTGGGCTCCGGGAGCCGGAAGGGGTTCTCTGTTTCTGTCTGTATTTACAAGTCCAGAAGTTAGAATTGTTGCCATCACTGAACTAATATCCTGTATTGAGAGACTTGCGAGTGTGGCGGAATGGGATGGGGCAGCAAACGAAATGATTTTTCCCCCCAGCCTGTCCCTTTACCCCCGGGAAAAAAAGCTACGGCAATGGGGGTGGAGGTAGAACATAGAAGGGAGGGGAGACTACTGCCTAAGAAAGAACCGAGTCCCGCTCTGGGTTCCATCATCCTACCCCAAAGCGATCCCCACTTCCTTTTTTCCATGGTCTCCAACCTCCTCTGTTCAGTTTAGAGAAATCGGATTTCTGTTGACTGAAATCTAAGTTCACAAGTCTTGAGAAATATACAACTTGAAAATTAACCCTCAGTTGTACATCCGCATAACGTTGAGAGGTATCTGAAACCTAGTGTTCCCTGATTTCTAAGTCGTCCTAGGGTGAGGAGACAGAAAACAAATCTCGATTCGTTTTGCTTATAGGTGGACTTTTCATGAGGAACACGGTGCAGGAGCACAGCGCTTTCCGCTTTGCTGTGCAGTTATACAACACCAACCAGAACACCACTGAGAAGCCTTTCCATTTGAATTACCACGTAGATCACTTGGATTCTTCCAATAGTTTTTCTGTGACTAATGCTTGTAAGTAGACCTGCTTTACCTCCCTTTGAGACCTTGGGGACATTATCTGCATTTTGCGTGTAATGCCTGGGGTCTGTGTGTGCTGGGGAGCGATGGTCTCAATAGACATTTTAGGAGCTCTAGTCAATCCTCAATTTGTGTTGCATAAATCAACACGGAAGTATTCACCTGGAAAGTGAAGGAAGTGCGCAAAACTCAAAGCAGTGGGCAAAACTCTGTCATGAATGATGTTGGATATAAAACTTTCATTTCCCTCCAGGCACAATTGGCGTTCCCTCTCCTACACGTTGATTGTTTATTTATTTATTTACCTATTTATTTTTTGCTAGGAGAAAAGAGAGCAAGACAGAAAAAACTGCATGGTTATCCAGGGAAATTTCTTCTGATAGAATTTTAAAAAGCAGCAGCAATAGCTTCTTGATTGAGTTGCATTCAGGATGTACATTCCTTAAATGTTAGAACTAGTGCCTCACTGGTAAGAAAGAGCAGAATTTGACAATCACCTAATAAATAGGAGCCAGATACGAGAAATTCACAAACAAGTGACCTTGAGGGACAGACCAAGCTGGATTCCCTGGCCTCTTTCTGTCCTAGAATATCACCTTTCTTACCCAAATAGCTCTGATAGAAACTCGTAAGAATACAAACATTCCAAGTGATGAAGCCTGGCAAACTCTAAGGAAAGGAGAAGACAGTGCTCAGGTGACTATTTAAAAAAAAAGCTCTGTCTCTTTTAATGTTGCTCACGGCCCTTTCCACAGCATTAAAGACAACATGGTTCCTAATTTACAGCAAAAGCTTGGGCAGCAGAGAGAAGCTTGGAACAAGAAAAACTAAATAGCAATATGAGGAATTTGATATTTTGGGCTCCAACATTATTTATGAAATCCACAGTTGTGCCTGTGATTATTCCTATGGAGAGAGAACATTCAAAGAAGTAATGTTACAGGAACCCAAATGGCTTAAGAACTCCTTGGACACAAGACTTTAGTTGAATGGACTGTTTCATAAGAAAGCCCAAAAATTATTCATTCAATCTGATTTCACTAAAAGTTTCAGAACAGTGAGTCCAATGACAACATAAAGCATCTTTTGTTTCTATAATTGGTGGAGTTTGGGACTTTTGGGGGGGTTTGCTTTTCTTTCAAAGGAGAAATTGTATTCATGCTTGGTTAGGTGAAACTTTGTATATGAATTTTTTCATATCCTCTGTCTAAAAAGATAAGTTCCAAAAACTGTTGAAAGGGTTCCAAGGACACAGGTTCTTTAGATTCGAAGACTTAAATCAAAAGGATGGAAGTGAAAGACTTTGCAAAAAATATAACAGTTATCAGCTCTAAGAAAATGTTAGCTGAAGGTACACATCCTTTTATGAACATTTTCTGAGATACGCTGTATGTGACATTATTTGGCTCTCCAGCATTGACAAAAATAGAGATTTATTAATTCCAGCTAGGTGTGAAAGTTACAAAATGTCTCTCTATACTTTGCATTTTATTTTGGTAATCCTGGGCTGTTTCTATAGCATTTACAACACACATCTGACTATTAATTCTGCAGCACTGTATTCTCATTAAGAGGCTGAATCTCAAATGCAGCTTCTTAAATACCAAGCACAACAGATTTAAAACCAAATGTATAAAATTGCTAGAGATTATGATCATTAACAATGAATAATACTTACTTTGATTATCTTCAATGTCCTTTCTTAAAGGCTGGGGAAAAGCCATTTGGCTTCTCAGGGATGGTTGATTTCCAAGGTTTTTTGGTACAGTTTTATGATCAAACCAGATTGACACCCCCCAGCCTAGAGCCATTGAAACCCTCTCAAAGAAACAATTGAAAAATGATGCTGACTATGTGAAAATCTCAGGTTAAGAAGAAGTAATAAGTCATCTGTATTGATGTTGGGTTGCTTCTGTATCTTACTTCTTAGAGCAATAAAGGAACAACCATAGAAAGGAAAAGCAATTGAGAAAATCCTTCCTTCACCCTAAATCCACAGCATTTCTACTTCAAAGACTAGGCTATGGCTAGAGGCTTGAAAGTGAGGGGCAAAGGGTGTGGCTCACTGAACAATAAGAAAAACAAAATTAAAAAATGACCTTGCCCTTAGGTATGCCAAATACACATATATGTATACACAGATGCACAACATGTAGGAGAAATATCTAGAAACCAATGACATGTACTCAGCTGCCTGTTGCACTCTCAGACTATATAGCAAAGAAGAAAGCAGTCATCTTCTCTAGTCCCTGAAACAGTCATGTCTGAATGTCATAATTGAACGGGGTAGGGGGCAGATCTCAAAGTTGTCTCCTGGCAGATGTTGCCTGGTAGCTTAAAATGAGAAAGATGCAGATGCCATTTATTTCAAGAGGCCAGAGAAGCCGCGAATTTGTCTACTGTCTTCCACTGTGCTTAACTATACTTTCATTTGCAGAAGTAGAGATCAAATATTTCAGATACTGGCATACAATTCTAGTTAAATACTGAAACCTGACAGGTCAGCTCAGATTCCATTCCTCCAAGAGTGAATACCTAATTGTGCAGAGAAAAATGCCTGTATCCTCTAGCCTGCTCTTCCCTGGAAAACTAGGGAGAATCTGAGTAAGCCCCAGAGGAGTCTAAATCTGATCGCCTCTCCTCTCTGATTCAACATGAAATGGACTGGCAAAAATTAAAGAAAGGTTTCCCTGCTGTCAAGCAGAATTCCCAGTTTTAGCTTCTCCTAGCACAAGAATTGATCTCATCTCAAGATCTATTTTCCACACTCAATTTTGAGGCAGGCACATGCTTTCTAGGTATGAAAGTGAACAGATACATAAAGAATAAACAAATGGTAATGTTTTCCTGGTGGTGTTCCCCTGTATTTTCCCACTTAATCCCCACAATATATTCAGAGTCTCCCTTGCAGTGAATCCCAGGCATCAGTTATTTAAAGACTCTTCTTTACTAGCAACTAATCTTTTTGCACAAGCCGCAAGAGGTTTACTTAAGACAGACTCCAACTACATCCTGTGCCTTCAGAGGCCAATAAAAACCTCCCTGGCTTTGAAAGGTAGTTCATTCGGGATCCCAGCTCAGAAGTCAATCGAAGTTTATCAGAGATACTCATCTGATTTCCAATATATGTTCTCATTTCATAGGAATTAATAGAAATTTCTGCCTTGCTTTTCCTTTCAGCTAAACAAACTCAGAAAGGACAGTGTAAATATTCTGGATTCAGGGTACATGCATTTGAAAACACATATAGACATTCACACAGACATAATCACTATATATAAAAAGAATTATATACAATTCATAAGTTACATATTTGTTCCTTAAACAAACAGATTTGATCTTCAAGTTTTGGGAAAGGATGTGAAAACATCGGGACTACTGTGCTCCATTGGTGGCTTGGCTGCTTTGGTTCCCCAGGAAATGTCGTTGATTCCCTTCAAGTTCCCTCCTGTGTCTTGCTGCTGTGCACTTGTAGTGCACTCCACACTACACCGCCCCAGCCTCTGCAGTGTCAGCTCATTAGCACACAGATCTCATATTCCTTCTCCGCACTGTCATTGCAAAAATTGCTGTTGTACACCTTTACAGCCAACAAATGTGCTCACAGATTACGCACTGTTTGCAAAAAGCAGGGAAAAGGCAAATATAACCTTAAAGGTTATTCACCATGGAATTGTGCTCTAAATGCATGTTGTCTTAAATAAAAATCCATTGATGGAGAAGCAACGGCAATGGTAGGACTTAGCATGGGACTTAGAAGCACAAGCACTAATGGAGCCCCAGGCAAAATCCCTTTTGCTGGCTAAACCTCACCCATCAGCTGCAAATCTTTATTCTATCATTTTTTCAAGCCATTTGAAATATACCTGCTCACTGAGAATGCACTGCATTTATAACTGAGCACATTTGCCTACCAAGTGTACTTAGCCAACATAAGTTTCCCTCTCTTGCCTTCAGAGTCACAATCTAATTATCTAATTATTCTAATTGCCAGGATTCATTTAACCATTTAGGTCCATTTGGAAAGTAAATGTCTCCCTTGATGCCATGCTGTGCAGTTTGGTGGGTTTCTTTTGCTTTGGTTTGTTTTGGGTGCTTGTCTTTTCCATTTAAACGTGGAACCTGATGGAAGACCCTCGAGTCAAGGCTGCTGCCCTAGAACACTAACCCAGGTCAGTTCTGGCTCCACTTTCCTCCACCACCCTCCATGTTTGTCCCCTTGCTGCTTTTCCTCTCTCCTCTGTTTCCTGGCCAGTTTTCAGGAAGCTTACTGTCTTAGCTCACTTCTCAGCCCCTCTGGCCAGCTGGCTTAGCCCACTGAAGCATGAAGAGGTCGCATCGGTGGTGCCAGTCAGAGATTTAAGTCACCTCTCATAAGGTTTATTGTGTTTTTTTTTAATCTATTTTTTATAGGAGGAGGAGGGAGGGTGATGTTGCTGTTCATTTGGGCCATAAAAATAGATGGCAATCATCAGGCTATAAAGGTGGGCCTCCTGCAAAATGTATTACCTCCTGTGCAAGGCAGATTCCTATTGATTTACTAAATGGGAGAGGGGGCAAAGATGTGTTTGAAGGGAAAGAGCCAAGAGAATTATTTTGTTTTCGATCTGTGCTTACTGCAAAATAGGCCATGGTTTTTCTTCCTCTACAATTTTAACTTTTTTTCCCTAAGATACAACTGTTTTTTTATATCCCCCTACTTTTTCCTCTATAGAAACTGTTTTCATAATTCTGCATTTTCCTTCATTGTCCCTAAGATTTAGTGAGACTTGGTGGGGGTCCTTGAGGTTTTTTATTATGTTTTGGCTCCCGATATATCTTAAAATTTCATTGTTATGGGTAGTCAGAGGTGATTGGCTGTTTTCATTTTAACAAATTGAAAAATAAATGAAGCTGCCCAGGTGCTATATCTTCCTTTGCAGAAAAGAGATTTATCATTTTTATACAATTGGTTTAAGGATTAAAAGATAATATGGATTTTTAGGAGAGGGCTA